GGACATGGGATGCAAATATGGTGGGGACCAAAGCACTCATGGAGAGCATACACATCAAAATAATTACATATTAAACTAACGAATTTATCACCTGTCAGGATAGAGAGACTGTTCCTAGGAGTGTTGTCTCTCAGCAATGAAAACACATTTGCAAAACTTGATAATTGCTGTCTAGTCTACATTTTCAATTTATAGCAATGAAAATACCATCTTATATTTCCCACCAGAAGGATTTTAAATCCAAAGTACTTTTTATCTCTATAGAAATTACTAAAGACACTGCTATTTAGAGGTGGCTGCAGCTCTCTTCCCCCTTGGGGGAGTCAGCGGGGTAGAGAAACGGATTTTTTCTCATCCTCTTTCAGATGAAAAGACAATAAATCAGACAATTTCAGAGATTCTGCCTATCATGTCATCAGAACAAATGAACAAAACCGGTAGCTAAAACATTTGGATATTAATGGTTAGCTACAATTAACAGAGTTTTCCAAAGAAGAGAACAGTTGATAGAGGAACAGAGACAGCTTTGCTATTATTCCTTGTGTGGGAGAACCATAACAGAAAAATTTTGCCTGGTTCATTCAAGTTTTTTAAGCATTGCTTTTATACTTACTTAAATAAACAAAGCAGTCCAGTGCTCCTTCAAGTTTTAAGGACTTGCTTTCTCTCTTTTTAATTGATACAAGAGATTTCCAGTCAAAACTTTTTTTTTCCTCCCCTCTGATTTTTCTGATTTTACTCCACCTGACTGGAGCTTACCCCTGGCTTTGAACTTGGGCAGTCTGAGAGCTCTCCCTCCTAGCATGATGGAGCTCTATCCCACATGTTCCTACCACACCTGAACACATCAAACCCTGCCTGACATACCCCCGTAACACTTGTGTGACACAGGGAGCTGCTGCTGCTCTGCAGTTTCACTATGAGAACGGAGGGACAGAGAAGCAGCTTGTCCCAGGCCACACAGGAAGCTTTTGGCAACACAATGAGCTGAACCTGTTTCCCAAGTCCCAGAGCAGCAACCTCCACCATTGAACCACCTTTCTTCTACATAAAATACCTGAAACTATTCAGATTTTCGAGGCAAAGGCATATGTTCAAACCTGAAAACTGTTTAAACTGTTGAATGCCACAAATGTCTACCAGACCTGCAACTCCCTACTCGTGCAGATAACATCTGTTAAAAGTAAGCGGCTCATACAGTTCTGCACCAGAAAGCTTAATAAGTTCCTTCTCCAAGATTAAAGAAACACCTACACATTCTAGATGCTTCTGCAAGTCCCTGGAGGGAGAAAATGCTGCTTAGTGCTGAGACAATGAACCAAGCTTCCTTCCTCAACAGTAACAAAACCCTGCTGCTTTACCTAGCACTAACAGGAAAGTGTTATTTATAAAATTGAGCCATATACAAATATGGCAAAATGTTTCTCAAAGTTTAGTCTACAGCATGAATCAAGACGACCTTAGACTTACACGTTTTCAAAGTCCCAATTTCAGTGTAAAAGTAGAAAAAATTTTGAAACACCTCAGCCACAGCTCTCATCCCAATTCATTTCAGTCATTCTGTGCATTCAAGTGTAACTTCAAAGCCTGAACTTGAACCACATTTGTTTCTCTGACCTCTTCAGCAGGCAAGTTTTTAAAGCAGCTACATTATACCTATATGTCAGATAAATTCACTAATATTTTGATATTCATGTTTCTTAGAATACTTTTATAAAGCGTTGAAAGGATTGCCTCTTGCCATGTCTTGTTGCATTCATGCTCACAAACAAAAGAATACATGTACTGACTGTTGCATTTCTTGTATTGTTTGTTCCCTGGTAGCATCTACACCTCTTGCTCCACCTTGTAAAAAAGTTTTATGCTAAAACCAGTTACCTAAACTCACATATTTTGGCACTGAATTAAGTTACTATCCTGTATTTTCATGCAATTATACAACTACACAAGGGTTTATTTGGCTCCAAATCCCAGTAAGTATTTTTCTAAGAACATTTCTATTGTTCATAATTATCAAGGAAGAAAAAAATCTTGCCAGAAAGATACATGCTCTTGTATCACAAGCCATTGTTTAGACAAACAGGGACATCCAGCTGGTTACAAGAAAGTGCACACACCACGGCATGCAAAGAAACTTCTTATAACACGCACCCACTTCCCAATGCTGCTGGTTTGTTGCATTTTGAAGGAATTACATTTCCTATGATAACTGTCGGCTTAAATAACCAGGAACGTTTAGTAATAAAGATACTGATGGAATTCTAAAGCTACTAAAATAGATTAAGAATTTTGCAGGCCTGGCAGTTTGGGCCACGTCCAACGCTACACTGGAGACTGTATTATAAGGAGAGATCTGTTCACATTTCAGTAATGTCCTCAAATTCTTCCTAATCTGTTACAGTCAATAAAAACTGACTTTTGCACTTCCTCTCTTCTGACGCACAGTCAACCTATATTATTTCTGCTGATATAGCTCCCTTGTCTTCTGAAATAAGCCTCAGTTACCTGGAAAACCCAAGGCCTTTTAGTGCATTCAGGGCTTTTCCTCACACACACACCTTCCTTATTCCCCATGTGTGTGTGTCTGTGTCCTGTCACTCAGTAACTGCTCCTGAGGAAGAATTCACACAGGGGCAGAGGAGGAGGAAAAATATTAAGATGCTTCCTATTTTCTTCATACACCAGTTCTTCTTCGTCTATTCTCTAATTTATATGAAAGCATCTGCTCCTCTTAAACATTTAAAGACTGCAATGTACCTGTCAGTGACCTACTGTGCATCTTTTTGTCTATTTCCACCCTTGAAATGCATAGCGATACACTGGAACATAAGGCCAACTGCAGTCATAAAACACAGAAACAGCTTAAGTAAATTGTAAAGATGAAATCGTATTTTCTAACTCAACATTAGATTCTCTGCACTAGCAAAATAAAATCACAACGTTTAGTAGCTGCAGAAAGAACACGAGTCACGCAAAACTCAACATTAGATTCTCTGCACTAGCAAAATAAAATCACAACGTTTAGTAGCTGCAAAAAGAACACGAGTTCTATTTTTTATGCAAAGCTGTCTCCAGCAGTCTAGTACTCGGTGATATCTAGGATACACAAAAACACCCATGTGTTATCTCTAGAATTATAACTTTCTGCAGCATCAGTGCTTATTCATCCCCGAATTAAAAAGCTCTCCTCCAGATATCAACCAGGCTAAGAATCTCTCTCTACCATGAGAGATTTCGGCCCACTTTTAACACTTCCTCACGTGACAAACAGGAAAACAGCACTTCTATACTTCTCTGCTTTACGTACCTGACGGTTTTATGTATCGTTACTTGTGTGACTCTCACAAGTAAAAATAACAACCAGAAGTAGGTGGTAAAACTGCAGGGACCTAAAAGGCAAGTCCACTGTTCCAAACCCACTGTTAAGACTTATTAGAATGCAGCCAGTGTCCTGTGGATTTATCCAATGTGGAGCCTCACAAGAACAAGTGGTAAAACTTAAAAGGAGTCTCCCTATAGGTAATTGGATGTATAGATCTCCAAGGACTATTGAATTTGCTTTAAAGTTGCACCTGTAACTCAACAGTGAAATAAACTGACACAAGACATCATTATACTTCATAACTACTTTGAAATCAAAAGTATTTAAAAAAAACCCACCCAAATATCGTTGGAAGTGCAGTACAGTAAATTTATTATGACAGAGCATACAGCAACCAGCCAGAGCTGCCGCGCACAGCTTCATCTCAGTAAAGATGGTGTTCGTGCTGCATCATAATGAACGCAGCCCAAGCATAAAAAGGAAGTGGACAAATCAAAGAAAAAAAAAAAAGAAAACCCAACCCAACACCCTGCCGGATTCAACAGTGAGAAGCTATTCCTGGCACCTCATAGGCCCAAGCTGCATGATCAAATATGGCTCTGTCTTCCAGCGTCACACATGGGAATGGGCAAAGGCAAGAGAACAGAAAAGATACATTTTCTGTATCTTTACAGACATTATGGCCTCTTGTAGGAAAGGAAGAGGCCAACAAAAAAAGCTGATGCCATTCAGCTTACTATAGGCAGGGATCTCTAACAGCCTCTTTAGAAGTCCCAGGCTTTTGTAAGAAGGTGAAGCATGGAGAGATCTAGTTCTTAAAGATCTAAAAAACATTACTCTCCCTCAGCTTTACTCAGATAAGCGACGCCATTCTGCTCATGCCTAATTCATAATGCTCAGCCTAACAAATTGATAACTAAACTGTTTCCCCACATGCAGATAAAACCGTTCTGTTTGCTCGTTTTTAACTAACATAGTGCATTAATCGTTGAAAATTAGACATAAATTTAGAGGAAATAATTCTCAGAACAGGAGCCTGTTCCCTAAAGAGAAACTGTCGTCCTCTTGATGCTACTTTGCAAACATTTTATGCAATAATATAATGCCTTTTATGAAGGTTATGCATTAATTACACCTAGGGGAACTGCACAATACGTACAGTATTTAAGCCTGTGTTCAGTCAGTACCATGTCAAACGCCTAGCTGGAATTCCACATGTGCTAAAGGCTGCAAATCTGACAACATTAGTTACAGTTTAACATTCATTTATAGTCAAGTTATTCATTTAAAGACGGCGCAACCAGACCAGCTCACAACTAAGCTAGAACACAACTCGGAGGTGCAGGCTCCCACTGCCAGCACAGGCAACAGCTTGCCACAAGAGCCCTTCTTCAGAGCCAGAAGCACACCAGCTGCCCAGGGTTAGGTGTCCTAGTCCCTCTCAGCTCTCCTCGAAGCTGCAGTTTGAGATTTTTCAACCCCAAACGCCAGCACAACCCAGGCAGGCCCGGCCTGGCAGCCCACACCCTCCCAGGCACCATCACTGCAGGGCTCTGCCCAGATAAGATCGCTCCTTTCCCATCATGCTCAAAGACCGAAGTTGAGAAGAAGAGAGAGGAGAATTTAAAAAAAAAAAATAAAAAAAATAATATTACGGGTAATGAGATCATCTTCTTACCTCTGGGGGTGTGACAGAGCCTTGACGGCTTTACCAGGGCAATTATTGCCACGGCCTCCCCTACGCTGCCCCCCGAGGTGAAAGAGGGGGGGAGCCCCCTCGCCAAGGCGGCGGCTCCGGGGGAGAAGGCGAGGGAAGGAGGAGGAGGAGAGGGAGGAGGGAAGGGACGGGCACCGAGCGGTGAAGATCGAGGAGACACACAAAGGCGAGAGGCGTCGAGGGGACAGGACGCTGCCCTGCCCGGCCGAACGCTGGGCAAGCACGGAAGGAAGAGCAT